CCTGATGATGTTGATCTTCTGTGCTGGGCCATCCTTTTGGCCAGTGGCTGTTTAGTTTCCCCGATGTAAGACTGATCACAGCCCTCCTGACACTGAACAGCATACACAACATTACTCTGTTTGTGCCGGGGGACTGGATCTTTGGGATGAACCAGTCTTTGCCGTAATGTATTTTGGGGTTTAAAAGCCACTGGGACGTTATGTTTAGAAAATAAACGTCTCAGTTTCTCTGATACTCCCTCAACATATGGAATGACCACTGGTCTGGGTCTGGGTTCCTCCTTTTCACCTGATGGCTGACTGGAGTCCTGTTTGGGTTTCTTCTCTGCTTTCAGGAAGGCCCAGTTAGGATATCCACATTGAGCCTGTCTTGTGTGGGATTTCTCCTTCTGCCTGGCTCCTGAGCTAGTGGGGATGCTGTCTGCTCTGTGGTACAGAGTCCTGATGACTCCTAACTTGTGCTCCAAAGGGTGATGGGAGTCAAACTGCAAATACTGGTCTGTGTGGGTGGGTTTGCGGTACACCTCAGTTTGCAAATGTCCTCTATCAGAGACTGAGACCTCACAGTCCAAGAAAGCCAATCTGTCATTTTTTACATCTTCTCATGTGAACTTGAAGTATTTATCCACAGAGTTGATGTGGTCAGTAAAATGTTGGACTTCCTGAGATTTAATTTTAACCCAGGTGTCGTCAACATACCTGAACCAATGACTTGGTGGTGTCCCTGAAAAGGACGTCAAGGCTCTCTTTTCTACCTCCTCCATGTACAGGTTGGCAACAATAGGAGAAACTGGAGACCCCATAGCACACCCATGTTTCTGCCTATAATATTGCTCCCCATATGTGAAGTAGGTTGACTGCAGGCACAGTTTCAAGAGTTGACACAGTTGTTCTGTGGAAAGCGTGGTCCTGCTGCTCAGAGTGGTGTCTGATTTTAATCTTAAACTGACCACCTCTACTGCATCATCAACAGGAATGCACGTAAAGAGTGATGTGACATCAAAAGAGACCATTGTTTCATCAGTCTCCATGATGACATCCCTCACCTTATCCACAAAGTCCATGGTGTTCTGTATGTGGTGTTCTGAGCTGCCAACTAAAGGGCTGAGTACAGACGCCAGATATTTGGAAACATTGTAAGTGACAGAGTTAATCATGCTAACAATAGGTCTTAAAGGTACACCTTGTTTGTGGATTTTAGGTAAACCATACAGACTAGGTGTGGCCTCCCCTGGGTACAGTCTGTGGTACAGAATATGGTCAATAGCCTTGTCCTGCTCCAAATTTTTTCAGGCAATCTATTAACTTCTTCTTGTAACCACTTCCTGGATCTTTTTTCAGAGGTTCATAAGTGGTTAAGTCACTAAGGAGTGTCATAACTTTCTCATGATAGTCTTTCTGGTTCAAAATCCCTGTGCACCTTCCTTTGTCTGCTGGGAGAATGATGATGTTTTTGTCCTTGCTAAGAGTGGTGAGTGCATCCCTCTCCTCTCTACTGATGTTGGAAGGTGGTGGTTTGGCATTGCTGAGGCAGGCTGAAACTTTGATTCCTCTTCTCAGACCCCGAAACAGAAACGATCATTTATTCAACAGAATAAATAAATGTCCGGTGGACAGTGCACGTTACGCACAGAAACTTCTCCAGACAGCTCTAGCGCACGTATAGCATCAGCAGGTGTCTGAACTCCTGCTACATTTCAGACTCAATAAATTAAAAAAAGCTTACTGTAAAAAATATATTAAAAATACAAAGAGAGAAATGTTTGATGTGTTATTCACATTATACATCACGTTTCAAAACAACAGCGCTAATTTGTCAAAATAACAACAGCAATCAAAATGTCAAAAAGACAGTCCAATTTACTTTAATAAAAAAATGGATGGATGAATGGATGGCTGGTTGGATGGATGAATGGATGGATGGTTGGATGGATGAATGGATGGATGGTTGGATGGATGAATGGATTGACTTGGACAACAGAGAATTGAAGCCTTCAGGTGCTTCAAACGGTGCCATGAGACTGGAGCAAGAGCGGAGTTCAGCTCAGAACCGTGAAGTGAGGGGAGGGAGGAGGGGGTTTAGGACACCTGACAGAATCAGAGCTGCTCTATTCACACACAACCTGCTGTTCTTCTCCAAAATAGTAATTTTATTAAGTGTTTACAAATGTAGGTAAATGTTGATGTATAACAACCCGTTAAAATACACCACAATGCAGGAGATGACATCTCTGTTATTCAAAATTTTCTGTGAGAGGACCCATGGACAACACCCCCCGCTGTTCCGGTATCAGTCAGTTTACAAATTAAGCCCTGCACAGTCCGGAGACGGCAGTCTGATTTTGGTCAGCCACGCTCAGTATGACCCGCTCAGTCTGCTCGTCTCGGAGGAAGGACAGACTGAGCGTGGCTGACTGAAATCAGACTGCCTTCCCTGGACTGAACCAAAATAACAGACCGCTGAAGCCCCGGAGCTCGAATGTTTACCGAGAAGTTGCTAAACTTCATCGTAATTAGTGACCAACCGCCATCAGTTGTTGAAAAATAAGGATTTCTCAGCTTGACACTTGCAGCAAAGATATAGTTTACTTTCCAGGAGATATTTATCAGTACAACAGTAGACAATCATAAAAAGCATATGACTTGAAAAATACAAGAAAATTATTTATATATATAAATATAAAAAAACTCAACAAAAACAGCTACATCATAAAGTGATGTAAAATACTAAAAACAGGAACATGTGTGTTGGTTTATGCCATGAACTTCGCAGGTGTTTGAAGCCATTTAACCACTTTAATATCCACTTTAAAGCTAGGAATAAAAAAATAAAATAAAACATGTTTCATGTTAGCAGGATTTTTATTCTAACTTTGAAACTTATCCAACATTAATAAAACTTACCTCATGTTGCCTTTTTGAACATGCATATATTTGTACAAGCTGTACTTGCCTATAGAGAGGAGATTATTACAGCCTCGTATAAAATCAATAATGATGATGTTGGGACAGTATCGGCCGATATTCAGATAGTTACACTTTATTTCTGCTATTTTGAAAGGTTTTCCTAACTAGTCACCAACATGTAGTTGAGTTTAGCTCCATCTGTATTGTGTATATACGTACGAATAAAAACAAAAACAAACATCAGAAATGACGCGCGTAGTATGGAACTAAAATAAGCATGGAACAGAACTTAGCTGGACTGAAGTAAAGTGTGACACATTAAATGTGTGTCAGAGGTACATCAGAGATGTGCTGTCCTCAAACCCCCCACCCCAACCATTGCAGCCTCAGTCCATTCATAAGACACACATGTATCATGTAGAACATGTATCAGTCCCAGACTGAGACGTGTTAGAACCTTTAGCTGTTCCTGGGACTGTACTCTTCTGGACAAAGTTCTCAGGTTGTTCCTGGGATCAGTTGGAGCCGTTCTTCCAGATTGCTCTGATGACCACTAAAACCACTGAGATGTTGACTCATAACTTCTATATGTCCTCTTTCATCCATCCATCCATCCATTTTCTTTACCCGCTTATTCCATTTTGGGTCACGGGGGTCGCTGGTGCCCATGTCCAGCAATCACTGTGCGAGGGGCGGGGTACACCCTGGACGGGTCGCAAGTCCATCACAGGGCCACATAGAGACAAACGAGACAAACAACCATTCACTCTCTCACTCACACCTAGGGACAATTTAGAGTTACCAATCAGCCTAACATGCATGTTTTTGGACTGTGGGAGGAAACCGGAGCACCCGGAGAAAACCCACACATGCACGGAGAGAACATACAAACTCCACCCAGAAAGGCCCCCGGACCGGGGTTTGAACCAAGGACCTGCTCGCTGAGAGGCAGCAGCTCTACCAGTTGCGCCACCGTGCTGCCTGTCCTCTTTCAGTCATTGGTAAGAAGAGGAGAAAATCAGTGATTCCACCTCAGAGTATTTACTCCAGATTGGTCAGTAGAGTGGTCTGAACTCATGATGAACTCATGATGAATCCATGTAGATTTCATGACGCAGTCATGATTGTCAACCATCAGCTCACACCAGAGAAGACATTTTCTCATCCCAGGTTTAATCTTGCAAGATGGAGCAGTGTTGATAAAACAAGCATCAAGATGTTACATGGCTTTGCTCACAGGCAGGATGAGGAAGTGTCTTATGTAACGGTTATCAGCAGGACAACTCTTGCTTTACAGCTTAGGGCCATGAGTTTATCAGGTGAAAGGCTCCATGCTTCTGCAGGCTCCACTTTGCAAAGACAAAACAACTCTTAACACACACATGGATTATATAACATTTGGTATTAGTGAACACCTGTGACCCTTCACATCGCCGTCAATGATGAAGACATGAAGTCATAATGAGCTCATGATGAACTCAAGATAAACTCATGAAGTTGTGATTGTCATGATGAATTCATAAAGATTTCATGACGAAGATATGATGAAGACATGATGAAGTCATAATGAACTCATGACAAGATAAGCTCATGATGAACTTGTGATCAACTCATGAAGAACTCATGAAGAACTTCAGCCTTTGAACAGTCTCTGGATCTCCTGCAGAAAGTGTCCGCAGGATGATTCTTAATTAAAAGATCATCTTCAGGTCAACTGAAAAAATAAAGACGTTATTGTTTGTTGAACATTTTAATGTTTATTATTTTCATAACACATTATGTTTGGTTATTTTAGTCTGAAATAAAATGTTTCTACAATGTAAATAATAAAATTCTTAAATTATAATTTGACAAACTAAATTTATTTTCTGCATTCAAACATTCTATACCAAACCTTTATGAGGGAGAGAAAAACAATTTTAAGACAGTTGATGTTTACATTGGTACATCAAGAAAACTTGAACAAAGAACATGAAGACTCTAAATAATAATAATAATAATAATAATAATAATAATAATAATAAATCATAATAATCATCACTTGATCAGTGTCTCATCACAACTATAAACTCAAAGTTACAATTTGACAAAAATTATTTCAGTTGACAAAACTCAGCAGAGTCTCCATTGCAGAAAACACTAAGTCCAGCGTGGAGCGGTTGAGTGAACGTGGTCTGGACTCTGTGGAGGAGAGTCCTGGTTTCAGAGACTCTGTAGAAGGACAGAACACCTGCTCTGTGGTCCAGGTACACTCCGATCCTGGAGGAACCAAGACCTGAGATGGAGGTTTGGATGTTGTGCTCAAATACAAAAATGTCTGGAGAACAAAATAAAACCCACAATTTGTCATTCCATCCAAATGTAGATTGATGTCCTGTTCTGCTGATGTTCTTGTATGCGACTGCTACAGAAGCTCCTGCTCCTCTCCACTCCACCTCCCAGTAACAACGACCAGTCAGATTCTCTCTGCTCAGAACCTGAGAATAATCAATGAATCTGTCTGGATGATCAGAATAAAACTGAGGTGTTTTCATTGCCACAACTTTTCTGTTCCTCTCTGACAGTAACAATCGTGTGTGTGCCGTGTTTGGATCCAGTGTGATGTCACATGAATATTTGAAGAATCCAGCTCTGCTCTCTGGTTCTGGTCCTGGTTCTGACAGTAAAACGTCCACCTCAGAGACAGTCAGTGAGACGTTTGTCCACGTGTCTCTCAGGGTGTCCTGCAGTTTGTCTCTGAGCTCCTCCATAGCTGCTGTCACGTCCTCAA